GGTACAGAATAAAAATATTCTAAAACATGCATCCTGAAGTAATACTGCCAAAAATGTGGCACAGCAATAAAACATTTGTCCTGAATACAAATGGTTAAGTTTGGGGCATTTCCAATACAGCACATTATTGAGTACAATTCTCCATATAGTGGTGGCTGCATTATGTTATGGCTATGCTTGTAATCATTTAAGGACTGGGGATTTTTCAGGATAAAAAAAGAAACAGAATGGAGCTAAGCACAGGCAAAATCCTAGAGGAAAACCTGGTTCAGTCTGCTTTACACCACACACTGGGAGATGAATTCACCTTTCAGCAGAACAATAACCTAAAACACAAGGCCAAATCTACACTGGAGTTGCTTACCAAGAACACAGTGAATGTTCCTGAGTGGACGAGTTACAGTTTTGACTTAAATCTACTTGGAAATCTATGGCAAGACCTGAAAATGGTTGTCTTGCAATGATCATCAACCAATTTGACCGAGCTTGAAGAATTTAGAAAAGGATAATGGGCTAATTTTGCACAATCCAAGTGTGGAAAGCTCTTAGAGACGTTGCCAAAGGTGCTTCTACAAAGTATTGACTCAATGGTGTGAATACTTATGTAAATTAGACATTTCTGTATTTCATTTTCAATACAGTTGCTACAATTTATAAAAAAATGTTTTCACTTTGTCATTATGGGGTAGTGTGTGTAGATGGGTGAGAGAAATAAATCTATTTCATCCATTTTGAATTCAGGCTGTAACACAACAACATTTGTGGGATGAGTGAAGGGGTATGAATACTTTCTGAAGGCACTGTACGCCCACACAAACATAAGATGCATACACATGCAGCATAATGACGCCACACGCTCTCTCTCCCTCTCTATCCTGTTGCCTAGTCACTTTACCCCTACTTACAGTGCCTTCTGAAAGTATTCAGACGCCTTGACTTTTTCCACATTTTTTTACATTACAGCCTTGTTCTAAAAATGGATTAAAAAATTAATAATCATCAGCAATCTACACACAATATCCCATAATGACAAAGCAAAAACAGTTTTTTAAATTTTTTTTTTGCAAATGTATGAAAAGTTAAAAACAGACATACCTTATTTACATAAGTATACAGACCCTTCACTTTGAGACTCTAAATTGATCTTAGGTGCATCCTGTTTCCATTGATCATCCTTGAGATATTTCTACTACTTGATTAGAGTCCACCTGTGGTAAATTCAATTGACTGGACATGATTTAGAAAGACACACACCTATCTATATAAGGTCCCACAGTTGACAGAGCAAAAACCAAGCCATCATTCTTAAATGGAAGAAGTTTGGAACCACCAAGACTCTTCCTAGAGCTGGCCGCCCGGCCAAACTGAGCAATCGGGGGAGAAGGGCCTTGGTCATGGAGGTGACCAAGAACCCGATGGTCACTCTGACAGAGCTTTATTATTATTTTATTTTATTTATATTTTTTATGTCCTCCTGTAGCTCAGTTGGTAGAGCATGGCACTTGCAACGCCAGGGTTGTGGGTTCGATTCCCATGGGGGGCCAGTATGAAAAATGTATGCACTCACTAAACTGTAAGTCACTCTGGATAAGAGCGTCTGCTAAATGACTAAAATGTAAATGTTAATGTCTTTAGAGTTCCTCTGTGGAGATGGGAGAACCTTCTAGAAGGACAACCATTTCTGCAGCACTCCACCAATCAGGCCTTTATGGTAGAGTGGCCAGACGGAAGCCACTCCTCAGTAAAAGGCACGACAGCCTGCTTGGAGTTTGCCAAAAGGCACCTAAAGACTCTCGGAACATGAGAAACAAGATTCTACCCCCCTGTATATATGGCCTCCCTACTGTATTTTACTTCTGCTCTTTTTTTCTCAACACTTTTTTGTTGTTGTTTAATTTTACTTTTTTATTAAAAATAAATGCACTGTTGGTTAAAGGCTGTAAGTAAGCATTTCACTGTAATGTCTGCACCTGTTGTATTCGGCGCATGTGGCCAATAAAATTCTATTTTATTTTATTTGATGAAACCAATATTCAACTCTTTGGCCTGAATGCCAAGGATCACATCTGGAGGAAACCTGCATGGTGGTGGCAGCATCATGCTGTGGAGGTGTTTTTCAGCAGCAGGGACTGGGAGACTAGTCAGGATCGAGGCAAAGATGAACGGAGCAAAGTACAGAGAGATCCTTGATGAAAACCTGCTCCAGAGCGCTCAGGACCTCAGACTGGGGCGAAGGTTCACCTTCCAACAGGACAACGACCCTAAGCACACAGCCAAGACAACGCAGGAGTGGCTTCGGGACAAGTCTCTGAATGTCCTTGAGTGGTCCAGCCAGAGCCCGGACTTGAACCCGATCAAACATCTCTGGAGAGATCTGAAAATAGCTGTGCAGCAATGCTCCCATCCAACCTGACAGAGCTTGAGAGGATTTGCAGAGAAGAATGGCAGAAACTCCCCAAATACAGGTGTGCCAAGCTTGTAGCGTCATACCCAAGAAGACTCGAGGCTGTAATTGCTGCCAAAGGTGCTTCAACAAAGTACTCAGTAAAGGGTCTGAATACTTATGTAAATGTGCTATTTCTATGTTTTATTTTTAATAAATTAGCAAACATTTCTAAAAACCTGTTTTTGCTTTGTCATTATTGGGGTATTGTGTGTAGATTGATGAAGAAAAATAACTATACTTTTTTTTTGAATAAGGCTGTAACCTAACAAAATGTGGAAAAAATCAAGGGGTCTGAATACTTTCCAAAGGCACTGTATATGTACAGTACATAGTTACCTCAATTACCTCGTATCCCTGCACATCGGCTCGGTTCTGGTACTCCCTGTATATAGCCATGTTATTTTCTACTCCCTATATATAGTGATGTTATTTTTACTCTTTATTTGTATTCGTTACTCACTGTGTATTTATTCCTCGTGTCACTATTTCTATTTTATAAAAAAATATATACAGTATCTCACAAAAGTGAGTACACCCCTCACATTTTTGTAAATATTTGAGTATATCTTTTCATGTGACAACACTGAAGAAATGACACTTTGCTACAATGTAAAGTAGTGAGTGTACAGCTTGTATAACAGTGTAAATTAAACTGCTGGCAACAAAAGTGAGTACACCCCTAAGTGAAAATGTCCAAATTGGGCCCAATTAGCCATTTCCCCTCCCCGGTGTCATGTGACTCATTAGTGTTACAAGGTCTCAGGTGTGAATGGGGAGCAGGTGTGTTTAATTTGGTGTCATCGCTCTCACACTCCCTCATACTGGTCACTGGAAGTTCAACATGGCACCTCATGGCAAAGAACTCTCTGAGGATCTGAAAAAAAGAATTGTTGCTCTACATAAAGATGGCCTGGGCTTTAAGAAGATTGCCAAGACCCTGGAACTGAGCTGCAGCACGGTGGCCAAGACCATACAGCGGTTTAACACGACAGGTTCCACTCAGAACAGGCCTCGCCATGGTCGACCAAAGAAGTTGAATGCACGTGCTCAGCGTCATATCCAGAGGTTGTCTTTGGGAAATAGACATATGAGTGCTGCCAGCATTGCTGCAGAGGTTGAAAGGGTGGGTGGTCAGCCTGTCAGTGCTCAGACCATACGCTGCACACTGCATCAAATTGGTCTGCATGGCTGTCGTCCCAGAAGGAAGCCTCTTCTAAAGATGATGCACAAGAAAGCCCGCAAACAGTTTGCTGAAGACAAGCAGACTAAGGACATGGATTACTGGAACCTTGTCCTGTGGTCTGATGAGACCAAGATAACCTTATTTGGTTCAGATGGTGTCAAGCGTGTGTGGCGGCAACCAGGTGAGGAGTACAAAGACAAGTGTGTCTTGCCTAGTCAAGCATGGTGGTGGGAGTGTCATGGTCTGGGGCTGCATGAGTGCTGCCGGCACTGGGGAGCTACAGTTCATTGAGGGAACCATGAATGCCAACATGTACTGTGACATACTGAAGCAGAGCATGATCCCCTCCCTTCGGAGACTGGGCCGCAGGGCAGTATTCCAACATGATAACGACCCCAAACACACCTCCAAGACGACCACTGCCTTGCTAAAGAAGCTGAGGGTAAAGGTGATGGACTGGCCAAGCATATCTCCAGACCTAAACCCTATTGAGCATCTGTGGGGCATCCTCAAATGGAAGGTGGAGGAGTGCAAGGTCTCTAACATCCACCAGCTACGTGATGTCGTCATGGAGGAGAGGAAGAGGACTCCAGTGGCAACCTGTGAAGCTCTGGTGAACTCCATGCCCAAGAGGGTTAAGGCAGTGCTGGAAAATGATGTTGGCCACACAAAATATTGACACTTTGGGCCCAATTTGGATATTTTCACTTAGGGGTGTACTCACTTTTGTTGCCAGCGGTTTAGACATTAATGGCTGTGTGTTGTGACAGCAAATTTACACTGTTATACAAGTTCTCACTACTTTCTTCAGTGTTATCACATGAAAAGATATACTCAAATATTTACAAAAATGTGAGGGGTGTACTCACTTTTGTGAGATACTGTATATCTTATCTTTAACTCTGCATTGTTGGAAATGGACCTGTAAGTAAATGTTTTATTGTTAGTCACACCTGTTGTCTACGAAGCATGTGACAAATAAAATGAGAACACTGAGAAACATAAATAACAATAAGATGTACAACATGAGTATAATAGCTAACAGATCTTCCCCATAATCTCACACCCATAAAAACGGGTCACATCCATAAAAGTGGTCAGTCAGACAATCATTAAAAACATGGATTGTGATGATTTCCATAATTGTAAAATGCAATAAAGTATACTTTCAAATATAAAAACTCTAGATTGATTTGTAGATCAAAATATAAATACAAATATTATAAAATGAAATAAATAAATGTGTAAATGAATAATTAAATAAATAAACACATGCAACAATAAATACATTCATACGTAAATAAATAAATACATTGTCAAATGAATTAGTAAACCAACTGTTGCCTATGATGACAGCTTTGTTTATTGTCCTCATTGACTGGGTGGTTGTGTAGTCCACAAGCTTATACTCCTAATAATCAACCATTCTTTCTGACTGGCAGTCACCACAATACGAACACACTCAATGGCAAAGGCAATCTTGTGGTCCACGTCTTGGACCTCAATGTGGCCATTTTTAAACTCCCCTAATGTGATGTAGGAAGAACACTGCCTTCCTCTCTTTGTCCCCACCAGCTTCTCTCCTACTTCCAGAGCTCCATGGTGCAGGACATCATTCTGACGATCGTCCGTTCCTGTCAAGATTTTGATTTTGCTTATTTTAGTTGATTTGTTAAAAACTATGACAAAGAAGTCTCCGGTAGAGGGAGGTTTCCCCCAAAAGTATTCATCCACACTGCTATAAGCCTTGGTGGCATCATAGTTTTCAAATACATTAATGTTTGTGTATAGGGTGGCAGGAGGGTTGTCAGGGACGTCAATAGAGTCCTCTTCAAAGTCATCATCCTTCAACTTGTTCTCTGCTCCCTTATATGATGAGTAGTAGCCCATGTGCTGGAATAGAGAGGGCTTGAAGCGGATCACATCTTTCTGGGCCAGCAGGCCCCGGAAGTGAATAAGGAGCCAATCACAGGGCATCTCCTGGTAGAACATGAGCAGGAAGTGGGCCAGGCGCGGAAGGTCTCTTGAGTGGTAGAGCTTCCCTATGTAGCCAAGCTTGGAGAACTCCAGCATCACCCAGTAGGAGCCTTCCCTGGAGGTGACCACCTTCTTCAGGGATGTTAAGAAGTTCCGTGAGCAGAGCACATCGTCCTCCAGCATCATGTAAAAATCAGAGAGGTTGGTGCAGAAGTTGAGGAGGAAGGCGTAGTCCACGTTCTGCTTGGAGCGGAAGCGTACCCTGTCATCTGGGTCATTGTAGTTCCTTTTCAGCCCATTCAGTGATGGATAATACTCCTCAGGGGCATGGATCACCAGGAGATGCCCAGCGATGATGTGGTGGGCAAACTTCCTGGAGATGTCCTGCACCAGGTTTTCACACCAGGCCAGGTCAAAGTCTGCCAGATGGACCACAACCACAATCTCTTTCAGTTCCTCATAACTGGACTGGTCAAAAATTGATTTAATCGTCTCCATGAGGTAATTCCCTCTTTTTCTTTTGACGGACGACAACCCAATGGTTAGATATTCTGTAAACACAAACATTTCACTGTACATTAAAATAATACTTAAAAAATTCATCACTTGCATGATGATCAAAGAAAATATATAATCTCTGACATCTAATTTTAGAACCCAAAAATGTATGATTAATAATTGTATTTAACAAATTATTTATCTTGTCTAATTTGACATAGTTAATAAAACAGTTTTCAATGACAGCCAATTAATGACACACTACATGCTATGCTAAATCCTATTCTACACTCACTCTTTCGAGGCAAAGGGGTCCCAGCAAGGTAACGATATGTGACGTTTATGGTTCCATTTGTGAGATCTCTAAAGGTGTGAACATATCTCTCAGAGTTTGAAGGATGCATTGATGTTTCTCTCAGTTGTCTTTTATCCTCCTCCTACAACACAGAGCAAAGACAACAGATCAGACGAGACAACTTCACATTGTGAATGCCAAACAAACCAAGGTCTCATCTCATCTGAGCTACAGACCAACACAGCAAAGTCAAGTCATCTCCTTGGAACATTTCTCAAATTTCTAAAACCATTGAGGCTTTTTACATTGCCATGGGAATGTACTTCGTGAGAGCACCAGATCATTGAAAATATGCACAACTCCTCAATAATTTAAATAACAAATACAGATAATGTGTTATGATCACCAAGATTTGATAGAATCATGAATAAGAAATAAATCATTTGGCTCTGGGTCCACATTGAGAACATTTTAATATGTTGCCTTTTTGAAAACAAGCAATTATAAAAGGGACAACATGGTTAAATACAAGAGTGAACTCTTGGATGAAAATTATGCTGTTTGATTTAAGGAGAGGAGGGTGGTACACGAGGCTAGTACACCCCAAAATCCAATTCAGTCAATGTTTTCATACGTAAAAAGTAGACTAATGTGGATTCTATACTATGCCATTAGTAGTGGAAATCTGCATTTCTCAATTCCAATTGTATGTGAAAGATAGGCACCATCTAATTCAATATTTTTAGATGGTGCCTGTCTCCTCCATTTATTTGAGATTGGATGACTTAAAGGGGCAATCGGCAGTTGCTACATACATTTTTGGACTTATAAATTAATGATATGTAGCCATTGATTCTTAAAGAATATAACCTACTAATGGCTTATCATTAACTTAGTTTAACTGTCGTACCCCATCAGAACCAAAAATATAAGCCTCTTTTACTCCAATGTAAACAAACACTATATACCCCTCAAAACATGGTTCAAAATATACTTTTGGATGGTGAGTCGTTGCATCCATAGCTCTGTCAATGGATTTGAGAGTGGTTACATTGCTCCAGCCCCATCCCTCAGCTTTTTCCCAAAACAGGGGCGGAGGTTGCACTTTGTTATTGGTTTCAATTTCGGATTGCCCCTTTAAGTGAATGATATGGCATCCATTTAAGGAATTTGTCAGCATTCAGACAAAACGTCCTAATCTGGATGCCGTAGATAAACACTCACCAGCACATATCCATCCTCAATGTACAGATTGAGGAAGAGTAGACATGTGATCAGGACCCCCAGGAAGGGGATGGTGGAGCGTTTACGGAAACACCTCATCTTGTCCAGGGACTTCCACACCAGCCTCATGATGGAGACACTCTCACTGGGATCTGCAGGGAAACACATGAGGAAAGGTACATTAGCAGGCTGTGTAGCAAAATGTTGAGATGGGAACATATAGTTCATGAGACTGGGTTGGCCTACAGCCTGCCATCAGATGGAGTGTTTACGAATCATTTACTGTTCTTTTAAGCATCACCTTGTACTGAAATCAGATTAGTTCCACTCTTCCTGATCATAGTGCATAGAGGGAAAATGCTATTTTCAAAATAACATGGTACTGGCAAAAAATGTTACATACAAGTATTCTAGTGGAATACAATGAGTACCACGAGAGGTAGATCAAAGAATACAAAGATTGACACACAAATAAATACACAATTATAATTTCTAGACCACAGTTGAGCATCAGCAAACTCTTTTCTGCTACTGCTACAAAGCCCCATAGATGCTTAATGGATTACAAACTAGCTCTAAGCTTAGTTCAATAGCCACACACACATTGAGCACCGGGAGCCTGCCTCACCTGGGAAAAGGGCTGGTCAATACCTCTATGTTCCGGATCTACACACACATCTTGTCTCTTTGTAGGCTATTTATTAAATCATCAGTGGTAATGGTTGTGCGTAATTAGACGCTGTTGATGCTTTTTCACTTTTGCATAATTATGGGTTACAGAGCAGAAAACTCTCCTTTCATTGCAGCATTGGTATATCTCCACATGTCCTGTAAAAGCCAACTGTGAAGGTATATAAAAAAGGGAAATATAAAATAGAAGAGGGATTGAACAAAATAATAGGAATTGATGGGACCATCATTCTAGTAATATGAATTATGAAGGCAGCATCAAGAAACACCTGCCAACAGTAAATTAATTATTTACCTGACTCTCTTATCCAAAGCAACTAGGGTAAAGTGCCTTGCTCAGGGGCACATCAACAGATTTATCACCTAGACGGCTTGGGGATTCAAACCAGCAAACTTTCAGTTGCTGGCCCAACACTCTTAACTGCTAGGCTACCTGCCAACCAGTTAGGTAGTTACTAACTAATCAATTAGTTAGTGGCCAAGACTTCTATTAATAATATAATCTTGAGCCAAACAAGTCTCTCTTCTCTTGCGTTCTCTTCGCATCTCGTCGAGTTCCTCTGTCTTATATCTTATCTCTCTCTCTCTCTCTCTTCGCTCTCTCTCTCTCTCTCTCTCTTCTCTCTCTCTCTCTCTCTCCTCTACCCCTCTGCTGTTGTATGCCCCATTCATATCTGAACTCTGTCGTAGTTTACTCTGCAGTGCTGGCCGACCCTGGTAGATAAAGGGGCCACAGAGTGGGCAGTTTGTAGCTGATGTGGCCTAGCATGAGAACAGGACTGATCATTAGGCCCCTCCAAAGGTACCTCTGTAGTGTAGATGACTGACATAAGCCAAAAAGCTGCAGTGCTGACTGAGACTTCCACTGCTCTGCAGCACAGTGGACTCCACACCACAACCTGATAACGCAGCTCCTGTATAATCTCATCTCTCATCTCTTCCTCAAAAACCAACAGCCACAGGGGCCTCCCGAGTGGCACAGCGGTCTAAGGCACTGCATCGCTGTTGAGCTGTCACTTCAGACCCGGGTTCAATCCCAGGCTGTTTCACAATCAGCTGTGACCGGGAGACCCATAGGGCGGTGCACAATTGGCCCAGCGTCGTCCAGGTAGGGGAGGGTTTGGCCAAGGGGGGCTTTACTTGGCTCATCACGCTCTAGAAACTCCTTGTGGCAGGCCGGGTGCCTGCAGGCTGACTTAGATCATCAGTTGAATAGTGTTTCCTCTGACACATTGGTGCTTCTGGGTTAAGAGTGTGCGTGGTTTGGCGGGTTGTGTTTTGGAGGACGCATGACTCTCCCGAGCCCATTGGGGAGTTGCAGCGATGAGACAAGATCGAAAAAGGGGGTAAAACACAGCAAAATGTGATACTGGCAACCATTGTGAAGCCTCTTTCATTTTTTTTTTGTAAAACTATGTTAAGGGAAAGTAAGCAAATGACAAATGGGGAGAGAAAAAAATATATATGTGACTCGTTTCAAGAAACTAGGCGTATTTCGCAAGTCACGACTTCACAGGAGAGGCATTTGAACCTTTTTTTTTTTTTTAATCAAAATACATTCTTTTGGCAGAAATTGCCTTCTGGAACATTTGAACTTTCATGTGCCTTAATAACAAACTTGTATGCCATCTGTAAATACGAATAAAGTTGTTAAATTACGAGCCTAGTTGAATTAGCCACAGAAAAAGACAGGAACCTTCCCGCTAGCCATGATTGGCTGAGATAATGAATGGGCTGGACATGCCGAGAGATGAGTTTCGGATTGGTCTGCCGTGTAGCATCTTCTGTCTATAAAATGAGCTGCTCGTTATGTGTAGATAATCATTTCTACTGCAGTTTTTTTCAGGCAACCATGGCATCCATGACAGAGAGGGAGAAAGATCTGATGATTCTTATGGCATTGCACACGGTCAGTGTGAACCAGAGTGACTTGACACAACGGGCCAAGCAAGCTGTACAAACAAAACGGAAACAACACAGGACGTCTTATTTAATAAAAGGGGTTGCAGTCTGCCGTGAAGCATTCATCCATGTATACAGATAAGAGTCTAGCTACAGTTTCAGATATTATACATTTCTAATTTTGTCAGAAAGTTGTTTTTATTGCAAGTTAAAAACTTACTGTTAGCTAGCTAGCTATCGTTAGGTGGCTGGCTAGCTAACATTACATGTATGATCTGTGTAGTAATATTATCTTGGAAAGCCATTTGCATTGCTAGCTATAGCCTAATGTTAACTAGTTAACATTTAACCTATTTGGTTAACTTCAGCTAGCTATGACAATCGGTTTGTGTTGCTAGTACTCTATGGATTGGGATTATTGTTCATTCTTTAGCTATCTAGCTAGCAACATGTCTAATCAAAAGACCCCAAGTTAAAGCATACTGTTAGCTAGCTGGCTCGCTAACATTACATGTATGACTTGTGTAGTAATATATATTTTTTATTTAACCATTATTTAACTAGGCAAGTCAGTTAAGAATAAATTCTTATTTACAATGACGGCCTACCCCAGCCAAACCCGGACAACGCTGGGCCAATTGTGCGCCACCCTATGGGACTCCCAATCACAGCCTGGAATCAAACCAGGTTCTCTAGTGATGCCTCTAGCACTGAGATGCAGTGCCTTAGACCGCTGCGCCACTCGGGAGCCCATTATCTCAGAAAGCCATTTGCATTGCTAGTTATAGCCTAATGTTGACTAGCTAACATTTAACCTATTTGGTTAACTTTAGCTAGCTATGACAATCGTTTTTTTTCTTCTATTGCTAGTACTCTATGGATTGGGATTATGGTTCTTTCTTTAGCTATCTAGTTAGCTACATGTCTAAACAAAAGACCCCAAGTTAAAGTGTACTATTAGCTAGCTAGCTGACAAAATATTTTTTTATTGTGAAACAAACAAGAAATAAGACAAAAAGTCAATACTTTGTAGAGCCACCTTTTGCAGCAATTACAGCTGCAAGTCTCTTGGGGTATGTCTCTATAAGCTTGGCACATCTAGCCACTGGGATTTTTGCCCATTCTTCAAGGCGAAACTGCTCCAGCTCCTTCAAATTGGATGGGTTCCGCTGGTGTACAGCAATCTTTAAGTCATACCACAGATTCTCAATTGGATTGAGGTCTGGGCTTTGACTAGGCCATTCCAAGACATTTAAATGTTTCCCCTTAAACCACTCAAGTGTTGCTTTAGCAGCATGCTTAGGGTCATTGTCCTGCTGGAAGGTGAACCTCCGTCCGAGTCTCACATCTCTGGAAAACTGAAACAGGTTTCCCACAAGAATTTCCCTGTATTTAGCGCCATCCATCATTCCTTCAATTCTGAATTTCCCAGTTCCTGCTGATGAAAAACATCCCCACAGCATGATGCTGCCACCACCATGCTCCACTGTGGGGATGGTGTTCTCGGGGTGATGAGAGGCGTTGGGTTTGCGCCAGACATAGCGTTTTCCTTGATGGCCAAAAAGCTCAATTTTTGTCTCATCTGACCAGAGTACCTTCTTCCATATGTTTGGGGAGTCTCCCACATGCCTTTTGGCATACACCAAACGTGTTTGCTTCTTTTTTTATTTAAGCAAAGCTTTTTTTCTGGCCACTCTTACATAAAGCCCAGCTCTGTATAGTGTACGGCTTAAAGTGGTCCTATGGATAGATACTCCAATCTCCACTGTGGAGCTTTGCAGCTCCTTCAGGGTTATCTTTGGTCTCTTTGTTGCCTCTCTGATTAATGCCCTCCTTGCCTGGTCCGTGAGGTTTGGTGGGCGGCCCTCTCTTGGCAGGTTTGTTGTGGTGCCATATTCTTTCCATTTGTGTCACGCCCTGGCTCTGGGGACGCAGGTATATTGAGCCAGGGTGTGAGTGTTCTTTATGTTTTGTGCTCGTTGCGTCCGTTCTAGTAGTTGTATTTCTATGTTGGCCAGTGTGGTTCTCAATCAGAGGCAACGAGTGTCAGCTGTGGCTGGTTGTCTCTGATTGGGAACCATATTTAAACAGTTTGTTTCCGTGTCGGTTGTGTTAGACCGAGGACGTCACGTTTTCGTTTTGTTGTTTTGTTCGTGCATTCATTATAGAAATAAAATATGTTTGCAACTAACGCTGCGCATTGGTCCTCTGTTCCCGACGATCGTGACAGAAGATCCCACCAAGATAGGACCAAGCAGCGTGAAGAGGAGAGAGGATGGACCTGGGATCAGTTGAGTAGGAGTCTCGACTGGGCCCAGCCAAGTGAAGAGCAGAGAGGTTGGACTATGGAGCAGTGGATTAAGAGTCTCGACTGGGCCAAGCCAAGTGAAGAGCAGAATGGTTGGACTTTGGAGCAGTGGGGTGAGAGTCTGGCGAGAACTAGGGAGGCCTGGTCCACGGGGAGGAGAGACACCCAGAATTTTTTTACGGGGGGTCTCACGACGTGGACGTCGGGGCAGCAGGAGGCCGCGATAGAGCGGTCCAGCGGGTTGGCAGAGGAGGCCGCCAGGTTACGGGGGCCACTGGTATTAAAGGGGAAGGAAAGTGTAGAGGCACGGCGAGAGGTACTGGGGTGTGTTACCAGTCCGGTCCGGCCCGTTCCTG